CTTGAGGGGCTCGAGGCCGTTGCCGTCGGCCCCCTCCTCGCCGCCCTTCTTCCCCCGTCCCCGTCCTCTTCCTCGGGGTTTTTTGGGTCCGTCGGGAGCCAGGAGACCGGGGGGATCGGCCAAGGGTCGGATACGGGGTCGCCCCCGGGGTCTCGGGGGTCCCTCGCGTTTGGGTTTGGTGGGTTTGCGGCCTCGTTTTTTGGGTCCGGGATGGGGTCCGGGATGGGGACAAAAATCGATGTCGCCCATGGGGCTGAGGCTGGGCCGGGCTCGGCAACTGGAGATGAGGTCGGGCAGGAGATCGGGCAGGCGGCGGCTGTTGAGACGGATGTCGGCGGGGACGTCGGCCTTGTCCTCGTCGTCCTCGAATTCGTACTCTTGGGCGTAGGTTTTTTTGGGGGGCGGGAAGGGATCGCGCTTGCGGAGGAGGTGGAAGGAAGAGGTTTTGAGCAGCTTTTTGGGTTTGGAAGAACAAAAAAGAGGAGCGGCGAGGGGGGGTTTGGTCCCCTCGCCCGTGCTCTGGATCAGGCCCAAGGGTTCGGCGTTGACGGTGGAGGGTAACTCGTGTTTGGGGGGTTCCAACCCCAAGGCGGGGGCTTCGCCGGTCGCCCCGTCGGCGGGGCAAAAAGCGGGGTAACTCTGCCCCATGTCGTAAGGGGGAGCCTTCAGCCCTTCGGGACGGGTTTCTAACCCCCCGTTGCCTTCCTCCTCCTCTTCCTCGGCGGTCTTGGGGAAATCTTCGGGGGGGGGACCGAACATGTCCTCCATCCCGGGGAAAAAACCCCGGTCTTCGTCCTGTAGCAAAGCGTCGGGGAAGCAAATGGAGGTCAGGGGGACGAAGCGACCCTTCCCCCCCGCCGGGCTCCCCCCTTCGGCGAACTGGTCCTTGGCTTCCAGCGACGCGGGGGCCACCGACGGCCCCCCTTCGGGGTCCAGGAGGTGCCCGGGGGGTCCTTGTACCCCCCCGGCCTGTCCCAAATGAGGTTCCAACCCCAAGGGGGGTTCCAAAAAGTCTTGGATCTCCTGGGGGGCCGGCAGCTCCTCCATGGGCTCGGGGGGCAA